TCTCTCTCTCTCTCTCTCTCTCTCTCTCTCTCTCTCTCTCTCTCTCTCTCACACACACACACACACACACACACACACACACAGTCGGTGCCTTCTTGCTGGAGTAGTCTTCCGTTGTAGGTAAGTTGCCTTCTGCCCTCCATCCCCTTATGGTTTGAAATATATATGTATACATATGTATATGTGCAAGTGTGCCGTTTTGGCGGCAAACGGGTGTGTGGGCTCTTGGCGCTGAACCACACAAACGTGGCCAACCTTGCATTTTCTATTATATTGCTTATCTACACTTTTTCGTTATGGATGGCTTGTGATGATTTGTGACGGGAATGAGAGAGAGAATCTGGTCTTTTAAAACAACACACACACACACACACACACACACACACACACACACACACACACACACACACACACACACACACACACACACTCAACACTAGGCTACAGTGTAATACTTCTACCTGCTGGCTATGGCTGTTGCTCTCACTCTCTCTCTCTATGCTGGTGCTGTTTTCCTACTGCTGAGGCACTCTCCTCAGCAGCACTCCAAATGTGCCCAATGTCAGGGCTGAGGGCGGTAGCCGACCTTATTGTGTTGACTGGCCTGACCTGCCTCCTCTTTCCATGAACGAATGGCTGAGATTCTACTCTTTGAGTGGCTGAGATTTAACCGTGATTGGCCGGACCTAGTAGGCCAATTCCTAGCCTTTGGTCGTGTTGATCTGTGGTTGTGGTTTACTTCTGGAGAACCTTTCACTGCTGGACATAGTAGAGCCTTACTGTTGTCTTTTCCTAGGGTTTCAGTTGATTCTTTCAGGCCTTGGCGACTTTGTCTGGATGTTGTGCCCCTAGGCTATTGACATTAGGACTTCTGTTCACGCCCCTAAGACCCCACAGCCCGACTTTGGATGCCAAAACTTTGAGTTGTTCAAAACTACGACCCAAAGACTGCAGAGTCGTTACCATCTTCACCCGAAATATAATGCCTGGTCATTATCATTGCATCTGGACCGGAAGTTGTCCCAAATACAGTTATAATAACTGGGCGTTCTATTTGTGTACTGACGGTAGTTTTGGTCGCAGATCCTTGCACTCCCACTTTCCTGATTTCGAGTGTCATTGTAGAGACACCATTCTTCTTCGACATGGACTTCCCTGTTTCAGCAAAGACTCTTTTCATAACTAACAAGTACATGAATTGTAGAGACACCAATCTTCTTTGACGTGGACTTCCCTGTTTCAGCAAAGACTCTTTTCATAACTAATAAGTATATGAGGAAGATGTTGCTTCCATCTCGTTAACCCGTCGTGAAACGCATTGGCCCTCAGGCATATGTGCGGTTGAGGACCCTCTCGACCGCGTCACGTAGTCATTGGCATTTCAATAGGAGCTTGTTGCTTTGACCAAGTTCACCAACTATACCCCTCATGGTCCCCTATGATAGGTTAGGGTCCCGCTAGGAACAACTTTGTCTAGCCCTAAGGAGTTGTCAGCATCATGAGGGGGTGTATCCCCTCCGTGCTACTGATCCGCTTGTGGCAGCTTGACATGCCGTGCCAGAGGCGGACCAGCTGTGGGTGTTTCTCGTTCGCTTTAGCACAGGGGTAAGCGCGACCATATGAGCCCCACATGAACCGTCATCCGGGCATTGATCCCCCGCTGCGTCCCTGCACCAGTTGATCTGGATGGTCATGACACCAACCAGAACGCAATTTCCAGTTTAGCTAATGTTTTTCCTTGCTAGGCTAGTCCCTTTTTCGACTCCTCCATAACCTTGCGCATCAGTAAGAGCGAGTGTTATCCACGTGGTTTTCATATAAATATTCTTCCACCCATCCATTCTCTTCAAAGCGCCCAAAAAATACAGCCTTTGTGGACAGCCGAAATGGCAAGGCAGTCTTGTGCCTACACCTACGTGCGACCCTTTGCAAATTTCCACAAATCTTCCAAGTTTGGGGTCATGTGCGACACTAAAGTGTGAGCTGTGAGGTGTACTACATGGATGGTCCTGCGTAGCATAGAACAACTGCACACTTGTGGTGGCTTTTGCATGTTGCGCCAGAGGTTTGACCAGCCGAGGGTGTTTCTTGTTCACCTTACCAGAGGGGTACGTGCGGCGATATGAGCCCGCATGCAAACTGTCACCCAGGGCCATGATCTCCCAGTGCAGCCCTACACCAGTTGACCAGGATGGTTGCGACACGAACAAAAACGCAATGTTCAGTCTAGTTTAGGTCTTTCCTTTCTGACCTTGCCCGTTCTTCAACTCGTCCCATAACCACTCTGATGAGTAAGAGTGAGTGTCACCCACATGGTTTTCATAGAAATGTTCTTTCACCCGTTCGTTTTCTTCATAGCTTCCAGACAGTACGGCCTTTGTGGACACCCAAAATGGCAAGGCAGTCTTGTGCCTACCACTGGTGTGTGACCCTTAGTGGTTCTCCACAAATCTTCCAAGTTTGGGTCACGCGCGATACTCAAGTGTGAGCTGACGTGTATCATGCCGATGACCCCATGTAGCACAGATTAACTGCACAATATTTTTCAGCCCCTGCATCACCAGATCTGCTTGAATGTTCTCAGTTTTGGTGCGACCTTGTGGTTGTGATGGAGAATTTGGAATTCGATGGCGGACTTGAACGTCCAACCTTGTGCGAGGATTTCTGCCCTCGGCAGGCCCATAAGGGGCCCCACTGCAAGTAACACGCCCGCCGTAGGTGAAGGCCGGCCTGCATACTTCCAAGAGGCCTAAATGTCGGCATTTCCAGGGCGTCCAGGGGCTTTAGACAGTCATTGGACGCCAGTTAGTTGAAGCGCCCTGCACGCTAAGCAACCGAGACGTCATGAGCCTTCTAGGCTCTTCCAGACCCGACGTGGAAACAGGCCTTCTGGCCAATCTGGACGCAGCGAGTGACGCTGGGCACGTCACACAGTTGGGTGCACTTAACTGTTTCGGTCCCAAGCCGCTATCTTGACCCAATGTGAAGCTACTGGGCACACCGTCGCCAGGCCCGGGCTGCCCGTACAGGCAAGCACTTCCCATATAGCAAAGTTCCGGCCTGCCAGTCATTTGTTCGGGCACTTCATGCATTCGCAGCAGTGCTGCCATTTTGGGTGCTCACATGCTGCTGAGAGAGGAGGGCGTGGGCACGCATGGGCACAGGTGGGAGAGAAGGGGTGCTGCTGGGAGCAGCGCAGAGCCAAGCCAGCCATAGCCGGGAGCTGTGTGATCGTAGTCTGGGCGCTGAGCGCCAAGTAGGGAGAAGTCCTCCTTGTGCAGCGGCAATGCTAATTAATTTTCTGTGTACCCTTCCAGTTTTAATGGATGTATCTAAGGACACCCTTCTGATATTTTCTTCGCAATGTTTGCATAGAATTCAGACTTCTAACGATACGGGAGACGCGCCCGCACCGACGGTAAGTGCGAACGGAGCGCTGCGCTAATTTGCACTAGCGTCCGCCTAGGCCCGTCGGGCTCTCGCCCGAGGGAATCCGACCCCAGGCCCGCCGGTTTGCCGGCCCCAGCCCCTCCCGCCATCGCGCCCAGCCCAGCTGCGCGCCAGCCGTTCAAACCGCAAAGCCGGGCAGCCAAGCCGCCATCGCCACGAGGGCGTGCAGATGCCCCGCCCTAGCCCAGATGCACCCCCTGCGCACGCGACAACTGTGGAAGGTGAGATGCATCGGCGGAGTCACGTGCTACTCGTAGCAGCCCCCCCCGCCCGGAGCTCGTCTTGACCGCCATCTCCAGAGGAACGAAGCACACTCCCAAGCAGGACGCCGCCGCTGCTTGACAACAAGTGACTCACAGATGAGCTGTGTGATGATCCATCGAAGGCATCAAGTCCTACTTTCGGCCCACGTTCAGCCTGCTTCAGCGAAGAAGACCAAGGCTCAATCTACTAGCCCTCCGTGAGAAGCTCTCTACTGCCCCCCC